ACTGACATGAAATTAAACCTGTCCTTTAAATTCGTTCTCTAATATGCATTACTATTTACTTAATCTGCTCTTGCTCTTTATTACTATATTTTCAAGAAAGGGAACATTAGATTCATGATTAATTAAGGAGATCATATTTATGTTGTAAATTTAACGAGATAAGGATCTTCAACATCAGCATTGAAATAATCGTTGAAGAGTGTTATATCCTTTAACATTTGGATGACATTGACACATCAGACTTTTGACGGGTAACCAATAGTTGTAAGATTGTGTATGTATAATACAAACCATTTTCTTTTTGTTTCTTTTAGAGTGATCTATAACAACACATTTCTAAATAACCAACGAAAGCCTCAAATAACATCAAATCCACCTTTTTCGATGGTTAAAAAGACCAAGTCCAAATATTCATGACAAACAATTACCTCAACTCCTCAAGGCTCAAGCATCAGGAATCACTATAACAAATTTTGTTATTAATGAAAATTATTTAATGGCAATAATTAAATTGCCGCCATATATAAAAATATTAATGGCTAATATATAATAGCTACTAAAAATGTATTTATATTACACTAAAGTTTACTATTAGCAACAATTATTTATTAGAAAAAACTTAAGTCTCACATTGATTAGAGATAAGATAATTAAATAGTATATAAGTGAATAATAACTATCACCTTATAGGTTCATTTTATAGGGTTGACTCCTAATTCACTATTCCATTATTACCAAATTCAATAGTGTTATAAAACAATTAGAGAGCAACTTTCACCTTATAAATCTCACATTTCTTAAGAGACAAGATAATTAAATAAATAAATTAAAATATATATAAATAAAAGACAACCCTCATCTTACAAATTCCACATCGAATAGAGATAAAAAAAAAAGTACATAAGTTATGAATTTAGAAAAGAAAATTATAGGAAAGTAAAGGAGACAATTGAAAAAAATAACTTTTAATAGCATTTAAAATGGCTGCTAGAATTGCCACTAAAAGAAATAAGTTTTTCCGACAATTTAGTAGATATTTACCAGCATTTTATATAAATGCCGGTAATAGTATTAGCGACACTTGATATACCATCTTCTATTTAAATGCTGGTAAAAAAAATAATGGTCATTTATATGACTGCTAAATAATAAACTAATGGAGAAAAAAAAATTTGGTATAGTGAAGACACCACTTCTTTAGCAATTAACCTGTTATTTTATCTACACCATTATTTGTCACTATTTAATGATTTGATTTTATTTCTTTTTATCTTCTTGGGCCTTTTTTTTGGTACATTAGCTTCTTGGGCTTTCACTTCACGTAATAATTCCCCTATTTATTAATTTTACTCATTAAGAATTTATAATTGTTGTCCATGAAACGAACAAACTAATAAATTTATTAATCAAGTAAAACCACACCCATCATCTTTTACTAGGAATAGGTTTATTCGCTCCATTTGTTCTTGTGCAAATGGTCTTGCTGCAAGCCTGCAAGTTAAGCTTATAGGTGTGTTATGAATTAAAATAATTGATGTGAATATTTACTTGGTAGAAATCTTTAACAGATAATATTGGTTGGTGTTTGAGTAATTTGACTAGAAATGATCAGAGTTAATTTCCAGAGATAGTGTGATTTTTATTTTTTAATGTGTGAATACGGTGGTGCTAGGTATGGGATTAAGAATAAATTTACTATTGTGATTTCTATATAGCTGATAGAGAAACTATCGAACATTATGAGTGTATTCTTTATGTACTTTGTTAATTTTAAATAGGCTGTTAATCTTTTAGAATTTTAACTATGGAAGTTTCTTTATGGAGATTTTAGAAGTAATGTTGTTGACTTTATGGTAATGAAGTTTTTTTATTAAAAAAAGTATGGAAATTGTAGGCTTCTTAATAAATTGAATAGCTTGGTGTTAGTACATGATATTATTAGATTGAACGTGCCAACGTGAAACTAAAAACTTTTGGTGAACTAGTTTAAGAAATATATGATATGTAAGTTTAGAGAAATATGATGGGCCTTTTCTGACACTTACCAAATTAGGTAATACGATGTTAATCAGCTAATTATGTCTTAATCATGCACTTGTCCTTGTTAACTGTGATTTGTACTATAATCCGTTTAACCTTTCGGCGCACTGCCGAGCCGACAGGCTGAGGCTTAGAAAGGTGCACGTCTTCGGCTGTTGACCGGACCGACAAGCACTTACTCTGTTACCTTACTCTCTCGGCGTTTGGCCGAGCCGATACGTAGTGTATGAAGATGCATCATGTTGTTTGCATCGGCTTAAAACCGAGCCGATATGTGCTAGTAGACTATTCTCGGCCTTCGGCTGTAGGCCGAGTCAATGCTAACATCAAGGTTTTAGGTATGGTCTAGTTCGCATGGATGTTTGACGGAACGGCACGTGTTGGTCCACGTGACCGGCAGGGTCCTCCCGATACACCTTCCATTGGCAAAGAAGATGGAAAGAAATGTCACTCTCCCTCATCCTGGAATCCTTCCTGACGAGTTGACTGTAGAAATTTTGTTAAGGGTATTGCTTTTCTAATCTCTCTAACTCATATCCCCAATTCGCAAAATCCCATTGTAGATATAGATACAACACTAGACAATGATTCTACAGATGTAGCCTTTAGCATTCTCACATTGAAAATCATAAACGCAAGATAAACGTGCAGAGGATTTCTACTCTTAACCACCACATCCTATAATGTCATTTATATTAATTTATAATTTTTATATCATGATATTTTATATTTTATTTTAAGATTATGGAGATGTTGATCTTGATTGTCTGAGATATGGAGTGAAAGTGGTTGAAATTGAAACTAATCAAGTTGTGAGTGAATTTGTCTTATACTTGGTTGGCTTAATGTGTTCCTCATATTGATGTTGATAAGCTTCTTGTCATATACAATTTTATGATATCCCTAAAGATAAATTCATGCCCAGTGAATGAATCAATTATAGTTTCAATAGAACTCGATAATATTTCCATTCGTATTTTCCCTTCTTCTCTCCAGATTTTATTTATCTGCATAATATATGACCATGAGATAATGCAATTGATTTTTCTATGTGGACTGTCTGGTGTATGAAAATTATGGATACTATTAACCCCTTCTTCCCACAACATTTTCAACTCCTCAATCAATGGACTTAGATAAACATCTATGTCATTTCCCGGCTGTTTTGGGCCAGCAATCATCATACATAATATCACATATTTTCTCTTCATGCACAACGAAGGAGGTAAATTGTAAAGTGAAAGGAGAACAGGCCATGAACTGTGGTTGGTGCTTAAGTTACCAAAAGGATTCATTCCATCTGTCGCAAGACCAATCCTTAAGTTTCTTGCCTCACTACCAAAATCTGGAAACAAAGCATCAATTTTTTTTTCCATTGTGGAGCATCTGCTGGTTGGCGAGGCTATCCATCACAATTTCTCTTGTTTGCATGCCATGTAAGGTTCACTGCATCATTTGCATTAGCAAATAATCGCTTGAACCTTGGAATGATTGGGAGATACCATAACACCTTTGCTGGAGGCCCCTTATTTGATATATCTTCATCATTATTACCACCACCATCCTTTACTTTATATCGTGATACCCCACAGCGGGGAAACTTGTGCACTGCTTCAAACTCTTTCCTGTACAATATACAATCATTAGGACATGCATGTATTTTCTTGTATTGTAAACCCATGGGACACAAAACCTTCTTCGCCTCATAGTGACGGTCCGGCAAAGTGTTGTCTTTTGGAAGCATTTGCTTCAACAACTCAAGCAACTCTGTGAAACTTTTATCACTCCAACCATTTCTTGCCTTTAAATTCATCAATCTTAACACTGCTGATAATCGTGTGAAGGTTATACAGTCAGGAAACAAAGGTGTCTCTGAGTCACTTTTTAAATCATCATACACATGTGAATGTGCTTGCTGAAAAGACTCTTTTCCCACATCACGAATCATGTCCTCTATTTGGTCATCCATTACTTCATCATCGTGCTGAGTTTGAGACACTATTTGTATCTCTTTATGTTCACCATGCCATATCCATGTTGTATAACTCGTTAGAAATCCATCACAGATAAGATGGTCCCGTATTTCATGAATTGTACGTCGCCTCCCATTTAAACAATTAACACAAGGACAATAAAACTTCCCATTCAAATATGTTTGATTTCATTGAGCAAATTCCAAAAAATTGTTCAACCCCATTTTGATACTCATTGGTGATTCTTTTAGAATTCATCCAACTACGATCCATTCTACATCAAAAATGCATGATATAGTTAATATGCTATGGTTTTGGGCCCAACAAGGAGGCCCCGCCTGGCCTTACAGAGCTTGTTGTTGTTATGTATCACTATGTTATTTTTATTCAATAGGCTCAAGTTCAGGAATAATAACTGTACATAAAAAAAAGGTAATGGGGGCACCTGTATCATTGTATGCATGTATGATAATGGCTTTCAATTATTGGTATCTTTCCAGCTTTGAGTTTTTCGTGGCAAGCGAGATTTTAAAATTACTACTATGAATAACTTCTATATTTTATTAAGAGTTTTATTTTTGTAATTATTAGTACTTTTCAAATTCTCTACTAGTGTATTTTATTTATATGTAAAATATAAAATGATGGGTCACGCGTGCATCTGATTAGCACACACTACAACAGTACAGACCCCATATTTTGTTCGTGTTATGCAGAAATGATAATTTTAGACTTTTGGCCAATGATGAACTCAGTATGGGGTGTTGGCATTCATCATTCATGTTAAACGACTTAGAACTACGTTGAAATATTAATTAAAATAAACATCATTTATGGAAAACATTACATGGATTTGGCATATGGTGTAGACTATAAATTGTAGAGATCAAAAACATCAACCTAGTATAGTTGGAGAATGAGAAAATTATTATGAATAGAGCTAAAGTTGATTACAACATGTACCTCAGATATATATATATATATATATATTGGAACAAGAACGGTATTCACACCTATACCAAGACCAACAAGAAAGCTTCCCCCAATTACCTCATTCAAGGTGTGGGCTTGTGCACTGTCACAAATTAGAACAAGTAAGTTAACAAAGTGACTTAATAACTATAATCTCAAATCAAAGTGCTTGCAATCTGTGGGCAATATGTATTGATGATCTAGAACTTGGAAAAGCCAATCATGTTATCATAAATCAATTCAACTCTTATTTTTATTTTAATTATTTCAAAATTTGAAAAATACTCATGGGAATGTTAAATACAAGCCAACCATATTTTTAAACGTTCACAGGATTAACATTTCCAATTATAATATTACCGGGAATGTGATTCCTAAAAATCCAATATCATAACTTGAAATAAATGTCTCCTAAATGTTTTTCAATATAAAGGAAATATATTCAGACATTTAAGTTACCTCACAAAAATATAAGGATTAAGGCCTATGAGCTTTAAAAACTTTATTACATAAAAAATATCTTAGTAACAAAAACAATTTTAAATTAAAAAATTTAGAGCTTGTACTAAAATTCTATATAATCCATAAATAAACTTTTTCAGACGCTCAAATTCTTAATGTCAAAGTAGTCTTTCAAAGTATACTTGCAATTTAAACATAAACTCAGCTTCTTCGACAGACATGGCAACAAAAGTTCCTATTTCCTAAGTGCCCATTATTCACTCATGTTAAACTCGACATGTCACAACAGGTTTACAAATTAAGTTTAAAAATAAAATTCAGATTTCCAGCAAAAATTATTACCAAATACTCAGTTATTAACTTATTACTTATCAACACCTCAAACCAAAGATACCCCGAAACATCAAATAAAACCATTATCTTCGAAAGAAAAAATAACCCTGGCACATAAAGCCACGATTTTTAATCGAGTATGGTCCACGGGAATGCAGTAAGCAATATTACAACAGACACAGAGATTCAAAAATAAAAAGTTTGAAAAAAAAATGAAACTAGCATAGCCATTATTTACAAAGCATTATAATTCATTTCTAATTAAATTTCGCCCAACTAAAATGAAAAAAGAAAAGAATTTATTAAAGTCAGAAAGGATAAGATAATAAATACTATTTTCACAATCAATCGAGTACATGCTTTAAACTATTTATGTACTGAGATTTTTTTTTTGGCATCCACACACACACAAAAGCAATTTTAAATCATAAAAACATTTTAATACAGGCTTTAAACTATTTCAGTTACACATTAAATTGCAATGTTTCTTCTTATGCCTTATTAATGCATTAGTTTTAAAAAAAATTCAAATTAGATTGTGTCTAAAACTTTTATGCGTTCAATATTAAAAAAAAACTTTTATGCGTTTAAAATCTGTAAAATGTTATCTTGTCTTAACTCCATTTTTAATATCAGTTATGGCAGGAAACAACGTTTAAGGCTCTAAGAGCTGGATTCCACTAAGATAATGATGCTTAGTGAGACAATTTTGTGAATGAAAGACATTTTTAATAAGTTTAGGAATGATATGAATCCTGTTATGGTGGCCATGACAGCAAGGCTTCCACTTGTATTTGTCTCGACGGTAGTGCCCCTCACTCACTCACTCACTGTCACTAAGCATTCCTAAACAACTTATGTCATTATTAAGTATCCCTTATTGTGTATTTCATTTTTGTATTAGAAGAAAGTTTAGGTGAGTTAAGATAAATATGCAAGATTGGGCAGTAGTTTTAAATATCCACTAAGGGTTCACTACTGTCTGGGCAGAAGACAACTTATGTCTTCTAGTCAGTTACGATAAAAGGAGGGGTGAGGGGTTAATATAGACTTAATTATGAGTGCAAAGTTAGACTGCCCCAAGTCTTCCTAAAGGTGTACAACGACAATGTAAGCAGTGCATTAGGATTGTTGTCTGCAAGATTTGCTTGTAAGTCAGACATGATTTATCATACCAGGACAACAAAGCAAAACATGGACTGCTATCATCAGCTGCAGAGATTCAGAGAACAACCCGTTATGTCTAATTCTGATATATCCAAGTCTTCTTTATCATTTTCATTACAGCTGCAGATTTCATTTTTGGAGATTGAAATCCCAAAAATTCCCCCCCTCCACTAAAGTCCTAACCTCTGTCTAGAGGGCTTTTATAGAATCAACACATAACGACACTATCCTGTCTGTTACAGTCACTATTCAGCCCACTATTTGGTCTTCTACAATTGCAGCACTAAACTTCCCTGCTACAGCAGCCACTGTAGTTGCCAGAGGCCTCTATACTGCTATACTTTACTATTTAAAACCCCATTAAACCATTTTTTTCCTTGAGATAAATGTCTAACTTGTAGCAAAACAACAATACAGCTATAAATCCTCATAAGTGGGCAGAGATTAGCAAATCCTTAGATGTTCATCAGTCATCATTTTCTTGACACATGGTTTTCCTGGTAAACTGATTATTGTTATTTATTCTTTTTTCTTGTTTTTGTACTCAAAAGCTGCTCTTGTCATGTTTCCATTGTTTTTAATTTACTCCTAAAATGGGTAAGTTACACTAGAAAGTTGCTATTTATACCTGTTAAACCGAGAAAATCAACTTCTATTATGAACTTGGGAATGAGAAGAGAGAAATTGATGGAAACAAACAATGTTGTTGAACAATTTTATTGAAGCATTGAGAATGGGGCAAAATTATCTCTACTCGGAGGGTTTCTCCTTTAGGATTTCTACCTTCTCAAAAACCAAATGCTCAATTTACAAATGGTGGCAGATATTAGTGAATTTGCATCCCTTAAGTTATCATATTTATTTATGTCATCGATTCCCTCACTCTAACTAACTAAAATTGTAATTGCAACTCTATTGAAACTACCCTTCCCCACATTCCTAACAACTTCACTAATTCTCAACATAATATATCAGAGGAATTCATAAACTTTTTCCGTAGTAAGAACAATATATGAGGTAATCAAATGAGGGACAAAAAATATATGAGGTAATACCATAACAGAATACAAAAAACAATTTCAAGATACATCAATATATAATAAATAAAAAACAAATATATGAGGTAATACCAGAACGGAGCACAGTGATAAGCTGCCCTCCCTGGTTCGTTCCAGTAAACACCACAGATGGATGAAGAAATTTGTCTTACGCTCAAACAATTTCAAGATAACCTGAAAACAAAAAACAAAAAATAAAAAAGCTATGAGTATAAAAAAACACTTTAGTATATAATAAATTAATGTCATGAAGAACATTAAACATGTCATTCAGCCAAAAGCAATAAACCGAATACAGTAATCAAATGAGGGAGCAATGATGGTACAACGAAGCTACCAATGAAAAATGCATAAACAGAGACACCTGGTACATTGCCGCAAATCCATTCTGGAACCCTCTAATAGCAAAAGAATCGTGCGCATTTTGCCACACGCGAATAGAGCGATAAAAAAGTTTCATGAAATAGGAAAAAGATTCACAGAAGAAAAAGAGAGAGAGACTGTTACTCGCCTGAATGAAAGGAATGAATGATCGACTTACGAAGCACGCAACAACTGGTGCAGCAATGCTCAACAAAAAAGCAAATTTGAGGAGCGTGCGCCGTGAAGAGTGCGCCGTGAAGAGATGCACCTTTTTGCAGTCGCAGGTTGCAATCTCCTCACAATCTGTTCGTGTTTTTGGAATGGAATGGAGAAACGTGGTGTTTACGGTTTTAGGGCTATGGGTGGGAGATGAACCGAGAGAGAACAAAGTGAAGGGCGCGCATGTTGAGAGCGCGAATTTGAGGTTCATATCTAAGTCGGTTTTAGAGAAAAAAAGGTCATAAATCACGAGAGTTATCCAATTCTACTACGGTTATAATGTGAACCGTCGTAAATTACGTTACTTTTATTTACAAAATTGTCGACGCATCTTATTCTACATTGTTTTTTAGAAAACTGACTTAGATTAAGCGACTTAGATAAATCAATTTGTAGTAGTGTCGGTGAATAAATTAATTGGTCTCCTCGGAGCGCACGAAGCAAGATTAAATAGCCGTGTCGATACAAATTCAGTTGAAAATGCATTTCAATCAAAGCTTAAATTACAGTCTAGAAATAAAGAAGATGGAGGAAAGAAAAATGGTGGAGAATATTCAAGAAATAAAGATTTAGAAATTTCTCTGGAAACAAAAAAGATAAATACCTTCCATGTGGTATTTGCAATAAGCTGGCACATGTAGAAAAAGATTGTTGGCATTGTGGAAAGCCAATATGTCACTATTGCAATAAACCCGGTCACGTGGAGAAGTACTGTCGTAACAAAAATAAACATCAAGCAAATTTTGCTGAAGAGCATAATCAAGAGCAACGTGTGTTCTTTATTTATAGACTGTAATTTACCGATTTTAGCAAATTTTTCGGTCGCTAAATTGCAAAAATCGGTCGCTATTTACCTTAGCGACCGAATTTAATCAGTCGACCGAATTTAATCAGTCGCTAAAACACTGGTCGCCAAGCTCATTAGCGACTGAAAAATTTTCGGTCGCTAATTCGGTCGCTAAATGGTTGAAATGATTGAAGTGTATGAGACCAAATTAGTGACCGATTAAGTTTTATTTCACAATGAACCACTCATATTTGGCCTCTTAAGAATTTTATTTCACAATACTTAAGTTTTTAGCATGTTTTGTCCTTAATTACACAATTTATTTCACAATGAACCACTCATATTTGGTCTCTTAAGAATTTTATTTCACAATACTTAAGTTTTTAGCATGTTTTGTCCTTAATTACACAATTTATGGAAACTTCCCAGAAGGTCACCCATCCCTACATTACTCCAAGTCAAGCACGCTTAACTGTGAAGTTCTTATGAGATAAGCTACTGAAAAGCAAATGCACATTGTTAGTATAAGTAGTACAAATTAATTCATTTAAGTCATCCTCAACTATCCAATCTCATACTTATATTATTTTTGGATCCTTATCATTTTGGTATATCCGGACCGTTATAAATATATAATAATATATATAATAATTATATTACTAATAATAATTATTATATTATATTTAATTAATCTTTATTTATATATATACTTACTTTTATAATTAACAATCTACTTATTTCTATTTAAAATTAATTTTATGATACAATTTAAATTATTTATTATAAATTTAAAAGTTTAAGTAATAATTTATATATTTTAAAATGAGAAGGGTTATAATAACACTGGTATAACTTTTACTAAGTATTACATTGTTCAATAACTTTATATTAAATGTGAATTTTGTAAATCCAACCGTTAAATTGAAAGTTCATATCACTTTATATGTTTATATCAAGTTTTGTTAAAATTGAACAACAACTTGAAGGTAATCAAAGTGCTCATATTTTAATATATTTTGAAATGTATATGTTACGTCAATTTTATTTTACAAGAATGAAGTATCAAATCATCTTGAATTCATATAAAATTTTGTATATATGATCTAAGAGTAAAAAACTTTCAATCTAACGGTTGAATTTATAAAATTCACATTTAATATAAAGTTATTGAGCGATGTAATACTTAGTAAAAGTTACACCGGTGTTATTATAACCCTTCTCTTTTAAAATATTATTTTTATAAATTAAATTTTAACATTTTAAATAAATTATTAATTAACTTAATATATTTATTCATCTTAAATCTAAGATATAAAATTCAAAAAATGTATTTATCCTTGTTTTATTTTCTAATTATCAACCATTAATAAAATACTAATTTAAAATTTAAATATAAAAATTCATTTAAAAATAAAGTTATCATAAGTTAGAAATATATATTATAAATATGGATCAAAATAAATAAGAAATTTTAAAATTCATATACTCTAATTAAAAAACTTCATAAAAATCCAATCGTAAAAAAAAACCACTAAATATTTTTTTACATTAATAACTATTGGTATTAATTACGTAGGAGTGCATATAAATATTTTTTTTAATATAAATTAATGTCTAGCTCTTACAAAAAAAAAGAAAATGGGATTGATACTCAATAAAAATATTATCATCACTTTTAACCAATTTATAAATTTTTTTAAGTTTTACTTAGTGATCGAATAGAATTTCGTCGTTAACTTTAACTAATATTTAGCTACCGAATAAAATTCCGTTGCTAATTTTAACTAATATTTAGCAACTGAATAGAATTATATTGCTAATTGTAACTAATATTTAGCGATTGAATTTAATTATGTCACTAAAAAAATCAAAATTTGTGATTTAAAGACCGAATTCAATTCTGTCACTAATTTTAACTAATATTTAGCGATTGAATTTAATTTCGTCGTTAAAAAAAATCAAAATTTCTGATTTAGCGACCGAATTAAAATTCCGTCGCTAAAAAATCAAAATTTCTAATTTAGCGACCGAATTCAATTTCGTCGCTAAAAATTCAAAATTTCTAATTTAGCGACTGAATTCAATTCGATCGCTAATTTTAACCAATACTTAGCGACTGAATTCAATTCCGTCGCTAATTTTAACTATTATTTAGCCACCGAATTCAATTCCGTCGCTAAAAAATCAAAATTTATAATTTAGCGACTGAATTTAATTCCTTCGTTAAATTTAACTACTTTTTAGTGACCGAATTCAATTTCGTTGCTAATTTTAACTATTATTTAGCGACCGAATTAAATTATGTCGCTAAAAAAAATCAAAATTTATAATTTAGCGACTGAAATAGCGACCGAATTCAATTCTGTCCTAAATTTAACTACTATTTAGCGACCGAATTCAATTCCGTCGCTAAAAAAAATCAAAATTTATAATTTAGCGACTGAAATAGAAACCGAATTTATAATTCCGTCGCTAAAGAAAATCAAAATTTATAATTTAGCGACTGAAATAGTGACCGAATTTAATTCCGTCGCTAAAAATCAAAAAAATTTATTTAGCGACCGAAATAGCTACCGATTTTCTAGCGACAAATTATTTTGGTCGCTAAATCGGTCGTTATTTTGATTTTTCATAATCATTCGCTAAATAGTGACTGATAAATTTCGGTCGCTAATTTCGGTCGCTATTTTGCAATTTTCTAGTAGTGCAAGAATCTTGTGACAACGGAGTGGAAGCTGGTACTTGGATAGTGGATCTAGCAATCACATGGCCAAGGACCAAAGCATCTTCAAAGACATTGATAACTCCGTCAAAGTCAAAGTTCGATTGGGAAACAACACCATGGTGGAGTCTCAAGGCAAAGGCATTGTCATGGTGGAGACAAAGAAAGGTACGAGACTCATCAAGGACGTGGTACTAGTTCCCAATCTTAAAGAAAATCTTTTAAGCATTGGCCAAATGATGGAAAATGGGTATTCTCTTCACTTTGAAAGAGATATATGCAAAAAAGTTTATAGTAGAAGGCTAGAGATTGGCCAAGTAAAAATGGAGAAGAGAAATAGAAGCTTTCCTTTAAGCTTCAGTCGTGGCACTAATATTGCCATGAAGGTAGAAGCTGATGACTCATGGCTCTGGCATCAAAGATTTGGCCATTTTAATATTCATGCCTTAAAGCTTCTACATCAGAAAGGTATGATGAGAGATCTACCCAGCCTAAAGGAAAATAATGAAGCTTGTGAAAGATGCCTTCTCGGAAAGCAACATAAATTACCGTTCTCAAGCAGTAATGCATGGAGAATCAAGGACTTGTTGGAACTAATTCATACAGATGTTTGTGGACTGATGAGGACACCATCACACACCAATAATAGGTATTTCATCCTCTTCATTTATGACTTTTCTAGAATTACGTGGGTCTATTTCCTGAAGACAAAGTTAGAAGTCTTTGGAATATTCAAGAAATTCAAGACCCTTGTCGAAAAGCAAAGTGGAAAACAAATAAAAGTACTTAGAAGCGATCGTGGCAAGGAGTATACATCTTTCGAGTTTGACAAATTTTGCGAAGATGAAGGCATAGACCGACAAATTACAGTCAGATATACTCCACAACAAAATGGTGTGTCAGAGAGAAAGAATCGCACAGTCATGGAGATGGCGAGATCGATGTTGAAGGAGAAAGGATTGCCAAATACATTCTGGGCTGAAGCAGTCTACACTGTAGTCTACCTACTCAACAGATGTCCTACTAAGGCAGTTCGGGACAAGACTCCAATAGAAGCTTGGAGTGGGAAGAAGCCATCAGCTAAGCACCTAAGGGTCTTTGGATCTATCTGCTACATTCATGTGCCAGATGAAAAAATGCATAAATTAAAAGACAAGACCGTATGAGGCATATTCTTGGGATACAATTCACAATCAAAAGGCTACCGAGTCTACAATCTTCAGACAAAGAAGCTAACAATTAGTAGAGACATTGAAGTAGATGAAAATGCTGCTTGGAACTAGGAAGAAGAACGAATTGAGAAGAAGACTATATACATGCCCATCAATCAACCAACTACATCAAGTCTGGAAGACAATAACCAAGACATTGTTATCTCTCTAGAATCTCCAAGAATAGTTCCACAACAAGAAGAATCATTACTTGAGTCTACTCCGAGACGAGTTAGATCACTAGTAGATATATATGAAACTTGCAACTTGGCCATACTTGAACTAGGAAGCTTTGAAGAGGTAAGAGTGATCATGGATTCAGGAGGAGTAAGAGTGAGCCTACACTATACATCAAGACTAAGGTCAGCATACTCTCTTACTTTCTTTATATGTAGATGATCTTATTTATACTAGAACCAATACAAAAATGATGATGGAGTTTAAAGAAGACATGATGAAGACCTTTGAGATGACTGATCTTGGCCTGATGA